GATAAAGGCACAATTACAACTGAATTGTATTACAAATAATGACAACAATAAATCAATTCAAAACAAAGTCACATTCTTATTCACTTGTTTGTGTAAATGTCAACCCACAGTATGTTGAGTCCACTCTGTGAACAGGATGAGTCAATCCATCACGTGCAAACCTGCAGGAGCAGAGCTGCGTACTGCTGCACGAATCACATTGGAAAACCAGGTTGTTTGCCATTTTGACTGAAAGCCTGAGGAGAAGTCAGATTTGTTGTTGTTTAAGTTATTGACAACAAGAGTGCAAAGAATAAGAAAGATCAAAGTAAAGTGAAATCAAAACCCTATGACAAATTCAACTGATTTGATTTCTGCTCCTCTTTCCTTCCTGCTGCTTTCCAGCCTGCAGGTGGAGCTACGCTGAGCTTCATGTGTGCATCTGCATCCATGTATTTATGATGAGCATTTAACTACTAAGTTAGTCCTTTTTTCCTCCTTTTTTTTTAAATCTCAGACTGATTATTTATCCTCTTGTTTGTTATCAGGTTCAGATAATACAATAAAAGGACTGAAAAAAAGCTTTTTTTAAAGCAAATCATTTGTGGTTTAGAGCTAGGCAATGTCATGCTTGGCAGAAAACAAGGCTCTAGCAAACAAAAATATTGATACGAATAAAAGTAAAGATCCCTCAGAGCAATCTTTTTATACAATAATACAATTATAGACATACTCATAACAATACATTGATTTGATTTTTAATCAACTATTTTTTTCTATATTTATTCAAAATAAATTTGGAGTATTTTGACACAGTTATGTACATAAGTGCAAACAAGGTGAACATCACACATTCGTATACACCTCAGAAAGGATCGACATCACCCAGCACAGCTGGGCACAAAGAGACCTCTGAACCACTTCCTATCTGAAACTGAAACAGCGGAGCTCGCTCCGCTCGGCCTCCACACACACTCTGAGGAGGAGGTGAACATGAGCATCGCTGACAAGTTTGATTTTTACTGAAAAAGATAAAGATCTTTCAATGAATCCAAAAGCCTCTTTACCTTCCTGACAGATAGGTGTCTGCTTTAAAAGTCCATTCTTATTCCTCAAAACACCATGTACAAGAACAAAAACAATTAAGGTCAAAAGAACAAAACAAAATAAACACCTGATCTCCCCTAAGGACCTTTGGATATTACAAGGATTTAAGTTTTCATACAAAATATTTAATCACGCTGCGATAACAAGACAAACTAATTAGACATTCCCTTTTTGAATAAGTTAGTGATGTATGCTATTTCAATTAATGTGAAAAACAAAATCCCAAGAAGGATGATAGAAAGGTAGCCATGTTGTTGTCATAGCAACAATTAACATAAACAATGACTCCATCATTGTATACAAATGAATATTAATTTTAATTAATTAATCTTATATATTTTCTTTGTTGGTCTACACAAAGTATTAACTATGTATAAATGAGTTTTATTCCATGCTGTTTTTTTTTTTTTTTTAAATGTTGGGTTAAAAAAAAGCTTAACTTTCCATTAATACATGTCACTCTCTCATACAGCTATCACATCTTTATACAGCGATCAAGAAGTAAGGCCCTGTGTGCCCCGGGCCACAGAAAAAATTCTCAGGACCAAATAAACAATCCACATGCTAAAAGATCTGTTCACTGGACACAATGATCAGAGCGTTTAGCATTTTCAGGAGTTATGATTCATGGCTGAAAAAAGAAAGGGCTTAAAATAGAATAATAGAAACATTGGAACAAGGGAAAGAGATAATAACAGAGAGTTCTCATGCCACACCATAATTCATTTAACACACTCTTGTGCATTAACAAGAGGCACGATTTCTTAATCAAGTATTCTGTTGTTTTCCAGCTGGATGAGTGAAGGCATACTGATGTGAGGGGATGTGTTCGGCTGGACAAAGCTAGTATTTAACAACTTTAAGATTTAGACAAACTAAATTGTCTGGACATTCAAATCATTCATATTATTGAGTAGGAGAGAATTATTTATTTTCAAAGATTTGAGAAGATGTAGCTGTTCAACACACTCAAGAACAGGGGTAGAAGAGAAGTGGTTTACCTTTAGTTTGATCCACCGTATGGTTAAAGGACATAAATGGTTGCTAACAGAGCACTTATATACTAATAAAGGACTGGCTTATCTACAGCCAGTTGAGTAGCACTTGAAATGTTTGGCTCTATGAAACCTGATGTACTTATATGATTCTGTTTTCTTCAAGTTTGTGTCTTCCTGGTTGAATGTACTTATTGTGAGTCGCTTTGGATAAAAGCGTCAGCTAAATGCAATGCAATGTAATGTAATGTTTCAATAGAAGCTTCAGAATTTTCGGAAATATGTTATTTACTTTCTCTAAGAGGTTTAGATAAGAAGATTGATGTCAAACTCATGTCTGTGCGGTAAATAAGAGTCTTGAACCAGGAGAAAGGTTGCTTAGCTTAGCATAGCGACTGAAACAAGGGGGAACCCAACTCTGTTCAAGCTAGCAATAAATTGTCAAATGTTAGCTTGGAGAGGAAGTCTTTTCTTTGTCTTTATAACGACAAATAAGTGATAAGAAATGGCAGTACAGAAAATGACGCATTTCAAACTTTCTCATGCTAAACTGCTAGCTTCATAGCTATCAATCTGGGGAGCAGTTATTCTCATCTAACTTGGAAAGAAAGCAGATAAGCACACTGTTATTCTAAGTGACACATTTGTTCAAATTCAACGTGAACTTAAGATACAGTTGAAGTAACTCAGTGGTGCTAAGGTTGTGTTTCAGGTCGATATTATTCACTCAAGGGGAGAAATCATCCACTCAACCCAATGGGAGCGGTGCCTCCACGTTTCCCCCATTGAACACCGTAGTTAGTGTTAATGGCGGGAGGCGGGTGAGGGATTGGATCAGGGGTGTCCAAACGTTTATCACCGAGGGCCACATACAGACAAATATATGAAGGGCTGGGCCACTCACTAGAGGTATATTGCCTCATAAGTTCAGTTATATCAAATGTAGGTAAATGATGCTTGTGAGTGTTGGCAGCTCATCCCTTAAAACAGAAGCCTCAGATTGATTATAATAAGGAGAAATATGAAAGGGTGTATTTCAAGCTTGTTATGTAAATAAGTCATTGGGCTTTTTTCTACTACTTGTAGGAGCCTAAATGCTACCTAGCCTGAGTTTATTATTTGTATTATTATTATTTAATATATTTTTACATTTATATTTCAGAGGTAAAATATAAGACAAGCACAAGTTTCATTTGTGGGCCATATTCCATTATACTTTTTTAATTTGCTGAGGGCCGATTCAAAACGGTGGGCAGCATTTGGCCCCCGGGCCGTAGTTTGGACACCCCTGGATTAGACCTTTGTCGCAGGACTCATACTGGATGGTTTCTCTACGCTATTACTTATACAATCTTCCCAGTTAAAAAAAAAAAATGCAGATTTTTGCAACTCTTCCCCCGCGATTATACCGTTGTTTCCAGGTGCATTTTGGGCACTTTGGGATCTTTAGGGTTAACTGACAGTTAGAAATGGTACTGTAATGTACCTGTACACTTCTGCTCTACTTTTATCAGAGTGAAAGATATTTCTAAAAGTAGTCACACCATCAATTGACATTAAATATAAATCTATATAACAATACACATACTTTAATAGGTCCGAACAAAGTATCAGCATGGTAACTATGTGACCTCAGAAATATAGTGTGAGTGAATCGTTACATTTCAACATGCCCGTTATTTGGAAGGGCATGTGTAGAGTTTTTGCATTAGATACATTCACGACACAATAACATTATTTAAAATGAAAAATGTTCAGTGGGAAATGCCGTAATATCTGCAGCACTTACAACTAATCATATGGAATCATATGTCTCTGTCTGTTTCAACACACTTAAGTATGCACAAAACTCACAGATCAATATCTTTACATAAACATAATAAGACAGCACAGCTATCTCAGAGAATAAACTAGTACAGATGTGATTTAATGTTATCATAATGTACCAATTAACAAATCTATATTTGAGCACTGGTCTGTTCTTACAGTGTATTGACAGTGGTGGTTTGAGGAGACTTAAAGGTGGGGTAGGTAATTTTGGAGAAACCAGCTCGAGTGCGCTAGAATTTGAAAATACACAACCGGAAAAAATCTGCCACTTCCTTAAAGAGCCCCTCCTCCAACACACACGAACGCGCACATGACCAATGAGGGCACGAGATAAGTTTGTGCACAGATGGAAGGCTACGGAGCCCCCTAGGGGACGTGGAGAAGAGAAAAAAAAAAAAAATTGAACAGAAAAAAAAAAAAAATGTTTTGCGAGATATCGCAAAACCTTTGCGAGATCTCGCAATACTTTTCATTTAGTACTTCCTGGTCTGTTCGGCTGCTACGGCAACACAGAAACCACAACAATGGAGTGGTTCATCGATTTTACTTTGAGCTTGGCCTTAAATATAAAGATATAACATCAGTGCTTGTCAATAGGCACGGGTTTCACACATAGACTGTATATATAAAGGGTTTCACATAAGTGAAGACACCTCAAGAGAACACTCAGAGTGAGGGGACATGCACGTTCCTCTGAGCTGAGTTATTGACAGATTCGAATTTCGCGGATCAATAACTCATGATTATAACGTTGTAAAAATACAAACAACATGACTTTACAATCATAGCAAGGTAGACAACGAGCTACAGAGTCGTTTTGATCAGAACAGTTCGATACGCGCCGTCATCCGAGCTAAACATCAATAATTTGTCACAATCCGCAGCTGGAGGAGGGAGAGGAGTGCTTAGGGACCGTCTACAAACTGCAACGGGGTTTTGCGAGATCTCGCAAAAGTATTGCGAGATCTCGCAAAGGGGTTTTGCGATATCTCGCAAAGGTTTTGCGAGATCTCGTAAAACATTTTTTTTTTTTTCAAATAATTTTTTTTTTCTTCTCCATGTCTCCTAGGGGGCTCCGTAGAAGGCTGACAGGCAGGTAGGCTATCCAGTTATTTTAGCCGGGCCGGCTCAGTTGATTGGTCGTGCTTTTTACAGCACTACTGCTTCCACAGATGACATTTTTTTATGGATTTGTTGTCAAAGCACTTAAGATATTCATTGCTATCGGGATGTTAAGAGCATTCCATGGAATATAACAAAAAGTGTATCTCGAGCCGGTTTCTCAAACTTACCTACCCCACCTTTAAGAGAGGCACATTTTAATTTGGATAAAAGTGATTTCAGGCCGTTTTCCAGAGCCGTTTCTTTAAATTATTTGCACCTAAAGCAATTTACTTACAGACATGTGCAAACCAAAAACTGGCTTCTCTATTTTTATCATCAGACATCAAACGTAGTGATTCTTTTCCTCCATTTCCTGACTTTACCTAACAATTCTGCTAGCTTTGGCTGCAATATTCAGAGTCTGACTACTTCTGACAGAAAGGACACATCAGTAGAAAAGACGACATTTATAAAGTGAGACAGGACATTTTCAAGTTCTAAGCTTTCTCCCTGAAGTGAGTTAGAGAGGAAAACATTCATTTAGAGCGATTACGCAGGTATTGCACTAAATGGGGGCAGCTCAACCACCACTTGGCACATCATTTAGGCACAACATCAGGAAACAAATCCAGCTCCCATCTTGTGCAATAACTCTCACATCAGGTTTAAAAGTTTACAAAGAAGTGCCAATTATACCAGTCTTTAACCTTAGATGTATGCTTTTGTCTTACATACTCTGATTTCATGTGAGTTTGACACAGGAAATCTGGGTTTGTGTCTGAGACTCATTGGCTGCAGATTTTTATTCTTTTAAACCATGTTTGATATCAAACCATGGAGGAAAACGGGCCAAACAAAGCTTCCCTTTCAGTTATTAAACAATTACCCATCACGACTGAAGATACTGCAGCACTTCATAAAAACCGTTTTAAAAACCTCATCTGCTTTTAAGGCAGTTTGTTCTTAGATCAAGAAATTAAGAGCCATAATCTTAAATATCTCTCAACTCAGCTCCTTGAGTATCGAAGTGATTGCCTCCTATTAAAATGTCAAATTTAGTGTTTTTTTTAAGGTTGTTACTTTGCATTAAGAGTAAAGCCTCATTTGCAGCTTTTATACAGTTAGTACCAGATACTGACTGTGAAACCAGGGGGATACAAATCATACTTATTGATCATAAAACAATATGAATTTAAAGTTGCAATTAATATAATTCCCTTACATTTTCTTGCTATAGGTTGATACGTATTGTAACAACTGTAATTGTCTTCATTTGCGATACCTTTCAATGTATGTTGGATCTAAGTCTCCTCTGCAGCTGAGCAGATAAATCAAAGGCACAACAAATGAACAACAATTTGGTGTTCCTTCAGGCGAGATGAGAACTAAATGAAACATGATACAACACAAACGTCACATGTGTAGCCATCTTGAAACGTAAACATGATATGATATGAAACACTTTTGACAACACTCTCTGGATTTAGACCAGCAGCAGGTCCATTTGTCACTTTCATTTCCAGAATAAGCTTTTTAAAGTTTTTGACTTTGGGACAGTCAGAGTCAGGGGTCGCCTCATTTGATGGCTCCAACCCGTGTGTGTGTGTGTGTGTGTGTGTGTGTGTGTGTGTGTGTGTGTGTGTGTGTGTGTGTGTGTGTGTGTGTGTGTGTGTGTTGCACTTTTAAGGTGTGTGTGTATATGGCTGTAAGAACAAGGGAGCTCTATTGCTCAGCCTGATCGAGTCAGTGTACAACAGTATCACGTCCAGGCTTGTATTGCGTCAACATTCGCAGCTTTCTGACGTTCACAATAAGACGTTTCTCACTCTGTAGGAGAGGCACATGTTTGCTGCATTCAGGAAAGATGGCCGCCCTGGTAGTGCACAGGTTTGGGACTTTAACTATGGTTTCGGGAAAGGCTTACTGAGTTTAGCGCCACCGGAGCCGCCATCAGCAGTTTGGGGACGGGACAGAAATGTGTTTCCATGGGAACGCACTGGAGCTCCACTGGATCCGGAGTCAGGAGCTCGGAGGCGTCTACTGCAGGAGAGACAGAGACTCAGTTAATATTTGCAATGTTTAGCCAGTTTCATGACAATGTTTGTGTGCTTTTATGTATTTTGAAAAGCCTCCAACTGCAATTACATTATAGTTTAAAAAAACGGACAAAATATAAACAATAATAACATATGATGAATTGAAAAGTATACATGTATACAAGTGGAAACAATATTGTTCACATGTTGCTCAGCCATAGACAAACGCTATATCTCCTTAATGGTTGAAGAACTTTTGAATAGTAATGGGTTTTTGTGATAGAAAGCAAATTGACACTGTATCTAAGGGGAATTCACAAAAAGTAAAAGCATTTAAATGATGGCAGGGTTGCTGTATGCCCACAGAGACAGACAGTGAGGCGAGTTGCACCAAACTACGATGTTGAAATGCAGAACGCTTTTATTTGAACTGTCATCATTTGCTCTGAACACAACAGACCTGAAGGTGAAGACAGATGAGATGTGAACACAAAACACGTGACACTACAGGCGGGGGTTTCCTTAACCTGATGAGTTAAAGAAGACTACGACTCTAAAAATAAAAGAGAACTGGAACAAAAGAGCAAACCTGATTCAAGGCGGCAGATTCAGCGAAAACATTGGTGACTGGGGTCGAAGCCGACGAAACAGTTGAGGTGGCACCGTGCATCATGGGAACTTTTATTCAGGCGAGTCAGACGAAAGACAGAGGATGTGGGAGGGGAGGAGGACGGGAGGGAGGGAGGGGGGACAGGAATGATATGGTTACCATGGCTAAATGTGTCTGATCAAAAGTCATGGCACAAGTCAAGTGATATTGCCAGGATGAACAAATAAAACGACACATGCAAACAAATAATAAAGTTACATTACTGATTAGCAAGACAAAAATAATATGCACTGTTTCCGCAACAAATGATAGTTAAACAAACAAGGCAATACACAGGCATACAATCTGATCAGACTGGAGCATCTGATTGTATTCAAATAAAAAGGGTGTGTGTATGGAGGGAGCAAATGATCCATAAGAGAGAGAACACACGTTTTTAATAATGTCACAACTTGTGTGTCCTTGAGTTCCACACACACACACACACGCCTTAGCATTTTGTTGTTACCAGTTTACGACCGGGCAACTCTCTGTCAGAGATAGTTATTGTTGTGGGACACCTGGAACACATCCTTCTCGGGGTGTAGATTAACCCGAGCCATAAGCGACAACAAATGTGATCCAGTGTCCTCAGCTGTTTAGTCTATTGAAGAATGTTGATTATTACACTCTGAACTAGTTAAAACCTGGAACTACAGAAGAGTTCTTCAGAATTTATTTGGCATCTCTACTGTGTGGTCAGATCGTGGCCCGTGACATGTCTTGTCAATTCTCTGGCCGAAGCTCCAAATAAACCCTCAGTGTTTGACATCAAAGCTCCAGCTCTCCTCGTGTCTCTCTGAGTCCTGACTCCAATTGCTTCAGAAGTTTCCCCCACAGTACACAAATTCACAATCAACTAGTTGTTCATTAACATGCATATTAGCAGTATATTGGCTCTTTATTAGTCATTATAAAACTCTTATTAATGCCTTATTCTACAATACCATATTCTCCCAGTAGGCCATTAGCTAAGAGTTTTTCCTTAATAACCCTCTAATTAGTGCTTATTTATTTTAAGTAAGGAAGTTGTTGTATATGAGTTTTGGTCTTAATATGCTCAATATGGGCCTAATAAGGCAGTAGTACCACAAGAATAGTAATTCTCCCATAATTACACTAAACAAATATTGTCTATTCTTATGTAACAAGACATGAAGCTACAAGTGTTATTTGAGTCAAAATAACTCAAAATTAGGTATTTCTAACTCAGAATATGTTCCCTATTTTAAAGTGAAGTCTTGTTCATAACAAACAAGCTAGCAGTTTGACTCTAATATGCATGTTGTTATTTTCTTCTTTACTCGTTTGTAAAGCACTTTGAGCACCAGGAAAATAGCTATATAAATATGTATGTATTATTACTATTATTATGTTAATTAACAACAACTAGTTGATGGTGAATAAGTGTACCTTAATATAAAGTGTTACCACAGTTTGGATTTAACTGTAATTACTTCTAATAATAATGATCAGTTGTGGCTCTACACGCAGCTCAAATAAGACCTTTTTTCTGTGAGGTTTTTGGGGTCTGGGGAGGGATAACGTGCAGAGTCCCCTCACCACAGAGTGCAGGCACTGTTCAAGAGACGCATGCACACATGAACACACACCCTGCATGCGTGCACAGAGAAATAAATGAATGACTTAAATAAATTAAAGATGAATGTGATTGCAGACATGACACATAGACATGATGCAATGAAGAAGACAATGGGCTGAAAGCTCCTTAATTTATCCCCATATATGGTCAATGTGGTTTTCATTGGCTGACTAAATAAGCTGCATTTGTAAAGCTTTTTCTATTCTTTTTGAGCCCATTGGTGAGCAAGGGATTAAATGGACAGTTCACCCCAAATTCAAATTTCCCCTTACCTGTAGCGATATTTATAAATCTAGATAGTTTGGTGGGGGATGTTGAGTGTAGGAAATATCAGTCATTAAGATGTCGGCCTTCTCTCTAGTATAATTAAAACAGATGGCGCTCAGCTTGTGGTGCTCAAAGCGCCAAATAAAATAATCCCCACACCTCTTTGTGAGTGGATTAATGTAGGAACAATTCTCTTTACTGTTTCACTGCGTAGAAGGAAGTGTGCATCTACTCATGGAAGAGAGGCTCGAGACAGTGCAAGATGTAAGCATTAAAAGCATCTTCCTTCGCTGAGCTGTAACATTAGTTATCTGAGACGAAGTCAGTGATTCCATGAGTGCATGAACACTTCTTTCTGAGTAGTGATACGGTTTACGGGTGTAGTTCGGTAGAAAGGAAATAGTTCTAACACGTTGATCTCCAGCTCTGATACAACTGACCTACCAATGTCTCCTGAGGGCATCATGCACAGAACAGAGCCTGTCTCGTTAATGTTAGCATAAAGGAAGAGATGGATGAGAGCGGACGAGAAGGAGAGCAGGAGGAGAACAAAAAGAAAACAAAGACAAAGAGATGTGGAAAAAGAAAAGGTGCAATCAGCAACAGCAGGTTCAAGGCGAGTGAACAGGTTCAGGTTAGTGCAGGCAACACCAGGCTGTCACTGAGAGCAAACACACACAGTAAAGCTGTATTGTACAGGTGACTACATAAGAAACCCTTGCATTTGTCTGGCCAGAATCAGGCTCTGTGATTGAGTTTACCTTCATGTGTGGTGACAGTATGATCGTGTTTCAGTGTGCAGGGACTCACTGGTGGGGATGAAGGTTTGCTGCTGCAGCTGCATGTTAGCCAGGGCTTGCTGGTAGTGGAACATGCTGGGGTTAAAAACGGCGGTGGCTCCGTTGCTCTTCTCTAACATCTGCCTCTTTGGAAGCTGCTGCATGCCACCCGGAGGGAGAACCTGGAAAGATAGAGGACTCATCTATTACAGGCAACGTAAGTCACCATTATGTCAAATATCACTGCTGATGATACACAACTTTATATGTCATTTTAAACATAATGATGTTTCACTTGTTTTCATTTTCTATTCTCCTGGTTCTTTAATGACTGTCTTTTATCTTGTTTACATGTGCTTTTATGATGGGTTTCTTTTGCTATTTGTCTCAGAGATTTGTGTAAAGCACTTTGAATGTTCTTATTGTTGAAACACACTTTATAAATAAACATGTCTTGCCTTAATTCGAATGACTTTTTGAAAAGGTTGCAAAACATAATGTTTTTAATTTGACAAACATTGGCAAAATTAGACAATTTTCATTCAAAACGATTGCTTTTAAACAAAACACCAAGATTATTGAAACTCTATCTACTTTTCTCACTGTGTTTTGTCTTAATGTGTTAAGACTGGGTCTTAGGACATTAAGTAAGGACTATCTTTTCATTTGGCTTTTTATGTAGGGTAACTGTAATGCTACCACTTTTATTGTTTAGTTTTATTATGATAAAAAAACGTTTTTCTGTGTTTTGTTTAGTTTTTCCTCTCACTAACTAATGCTATTGCTTGTTATTAATTATTTTCAGCTCATCTTATTTAGTTCATCACTATATATTTTCTTGTATCTTGTTCTTATTATTATATTCATGACTAGTAAAAGTATCTGGTGCTATCTCACTGTAAAATCCTTAAAACCTTCATCCAATTAATTTTGGGTTTTCTGTTTTCGCCACCAGAGGACGCTGCAGTGTCTCAGATTTCGGAAGTGATGCAGGACGGCCCAGAGGTCGGCCAAGTGCAAAATGCTATCGCTATGATTTCATTCATTAATGGAGCGAGGGCTGAAACATCAAACTGCATTGGAAGATAACCAAGGGAATGATTGACCTTGGGAAGTACAATTATAACATAAAAACACACATATCACATTTTAGGATGTTTCATTAATCATTTTTTAAAATTATCCTCCCTGATTACCTGGAATAATTAAAGCTTAGATGAAAAATAACAGCATAAAGTAAAACCATGGATGACATATGTTTTCCATTCCTTTCATTATACTTTGCTTCATCTTTTCCCAGCACTGCGTTTCTTGTTTTTCCTGCATCAGCACTGCAGATTGACCTGATTATGTTACAGCTGCTCTCAATGCTAACTTTAGCCTGTGTAGCTGAGAGCACCGGCTCAGTCTCATGCACAGTAGGAGACATTCATGAAAAAACATAATCCCCTAGACTGCAATATCACATTGCAAGCTGGCTAAGGGATACTGCGATACCCTGATCCTTCATTGCATCAGTAAACATCATCCACGTACAGAACTAAAACATCTTCTCCTGTTTCACTGCTGGGTTGAGCAGAATGTTGATTTGTAACTTCTGAGAAAGTGAGTTAATTTCGGGTTTACACCTGAGCATGTTCACAATGTCATTATGGGAAAATGTAAGGGCCACACATAAGAAAAAATAATAGGAAAAATAATGTTGAATTTCATTATCAGAGGAGGAACCAGTTATTTTTGGTTTGTTTTTTGCATTTCCGAATTGAAGGAAATGTTGAGATTGAAGTAGAAATGAAGGGAAGAAACGTTGAACTTCTGCGAATTAATCTAAATACTAAGGGTTGGCACATATACTCAAAGTTAATCTGTGCTCTCATCATTTCAGCTGTATTCTCGAAATGTTAAATTACTGAAAAAGCCCTCTTCTAACATTAGCTTTCTTATGACTGGCCCAAAAAAAACGTAATGTTGAATTTGTTGGTGTGCAGAACAAAGAGTCCTGAGTGTGTGTGTCTCACCATGCCTGTGCCCGCTGTGTTGTGGCTGGCTTGGTGCTGCGCAGCCTTGATCCGGGCCTGCAGGTGAGCCGGAGGGTGGAAGTATTTGCACTTGTCTCGGCTGCAGCGGCCTTTGATGTAGTCCATGCAGACGATGACCGAGTTCTCGCTGCAGTCCACCATGCCGGCCTCCAGAGGGTGAGCGTAGCGGCAGTCACTCTCGCCCCGCGTGCAGTTACCGCGCTGGAACTCTCGACAAACCTGCGAGACAAAACTGTTAGCAACAAACTGTTCTGTCCGCAGTATCCGCACAAAAACCACCAGACTCAGGGACAGTTTTATCCCACAGGCCATAAGACTGCTAAACACCTGAGTTCTGCTAAGTCCCCCGATAAACATTCCTGTTGTCATCTTGCAATATACTCATTTATATAAATAGTTATCACCGCAATAAACCGTATTTAATTTTGTATTAATTTACATTATTTAATTGTATATTCTGTTCTTGTACATATCCCATATTCTATTGACATGTATATAGACTTTTTGCACTACTGTTTATTTTGTATTTTTGTATTTTATTATATATGTTGCATTGTTGGAGGAGCTCAGGTCAGAAGAATTTCATTGCCATTTCTACACTTTAGCTTTGTGCATATGACAATAAAACCTTTGAATCTTGAATAAAATCTTGAATCTTGAGGGTCAGAAGAGCTATGATCAACATTTACCCTTCATCACATATCGGCCAAACATAGAAACACAACAACTGCCCCGGGCTGCATACCTCCAGCTTGTCCGTGCGCAAATGTTTCTGAGCGGAGGTGCCGTTGCCCATGGCAGCCAGGCCGGTGGGGCTCCCAGGGACCAGCAGGGGGGCGCTGGTCAGCATCTCGGGCATCAGGCTCATGCCGTGGCCCATGTGGCTCAGATAGGGACTGAAGGCCATACTGGGACACGTTCCCAGAGAGGGCGTCATCGGGAATGTTGTCTGAGGGAGGGACATCAGCGCAGAGACCAAAGAGACACAACAAGTTATAGCAGAGCTTTCGCTGGCGTTAGGACAGGAGTTGGTGGAAACATAAACAGAACTTTGTTTTTGACAGCATTGAAAACCATGTAGTTACCTGAAGTTGTAAAATTACTTTGAACATTAACATTGAATTAATCATATTTAAAAGCTCAAGCTCGTCAGTTTTGATTGCAAATTTCACATTTACTTTTAAATTGAATAAAAACAAAGCTACCTTCCCTGTCGCTGAATGATCCTCAATGAGTTTTAACCAAAATTATGAAAAACACTAAAATAAATAATAACGGATAAGTCACAAAGTATTAGGTCAATTAAATGTTTTGGCTATTTAAATGAATTTCAATATTTTATATACATTAAAGTAAGGGATAGAAAAATAATATTTTTGATCTCCCATTTCATCTTTATTGGAGAACAGAAGTAAATATATATTTACTGGGGGCATAACTTAATGAAAGTCCTATATTATTACCAAATAAATGCCACTTTGGTTAAAACATACCTCACAGTACACACAGTGCAGTTAATACTTTGTTGAATAAATGAAATGTTGAAACACATTAAATATGCTCACTACGGGCTGCAGCTGGGCTCCAGGCAGCATGAACTGCATCTGTTGAGCCAACATGGCCGCCGCGGCCTTCTGCTGGATCAGGTTGTTCCTCCCGTTAATCTCCAGCTGCGTTTTCAGGTGCGGCGGTGGATGCAGATATTTACAGTTCTCACGGGTGCAGCGCCCCTGAAGAGGAGAGAGGAAGGAGGGAGGAGCAGTGTGAGAGCAGGGGTGACACTGAGAGTCATGTGACACTAAATCAATCACGGGTGTGCCTTGACATAGAGAGCTCACCTTAAGGCAGATCTAAGTTTAGAAGAGCGCTCATCACTGTAATCAAGCCTAATATGTTCAACTAAACATCAGGAAGCGTGGGTGTTTACAGAGCAAGATATGTACAGTAAATTCTGGTGAAATACAGCAGTAATGAAGTCCCAGAAGACTGCATATTGGATTATTCATGAGAAATGTGAAACCACTTTCTAAAATGTTCATCATTAAAAAGTACGCTATGCTGGAAACAACAACGATCTGAGCAACACAGTAATGTAGAAAGTCAATAGGTTTTTCATGTTTCTACAAGAAAATGACTGAGCCATTGAGTCAAACTGTACTTCCTACTTTGTACCATTAACAAGTCACGTTTAAAGCGTTGTGAAATGACAGGTGGAGTATTTGAACCAGCTTTGGATTTTTCCACAGAAGCACAGCAGTCAGATAAACCTCGCTGACAAGAGATAAAGCTGGAGAGTGAAAACACATGCTCGACTCTCACTGACCTGTACGAGACATTCTTTTATCTAGTTCCACTCAATAAATAAGCTACTTAGCAGAAAGAGAAAGATATCGAAAGAATGTATCTGACTGACTTCAGCACGTGGAGTTGGTTGAATTCAGATCAGATTAATCAATCTATCATCATCATTTAAACTTGTAAGAAAAACTATGAAGTACTTTTAGCAAAAACAACTCAAAAGTTTTAAAAAGCAGAAGTACTTTGTCAATTATAGGTTATATTATAATTGTACATTTCTACAGCATTTTATTATAGCAATAGAAATGCAACAATGCTATCGCTAATTATTGTGTTCATCATCTCCATTACTCCTCACATTCAGAAGGTCAAAACATAACGGCTACGCACAAGTGAAGACATTTTTGATTAAGTGATGTACTTTTCAATTGGAACAAAACAACTAATTATTCCAAATTAGACATGCTTATCTAATGAACACAGAGAACTATTCATGACTATTCATTAACAAGTGCAGCATGTCGGCTTTGCATGCTGGGCTTATTTGCATAGTCAAAGCATTTGTATTGGTCTGACGGCAGACAGAGTGTGCGACTGCAACCTGAGTCTTACACGTGTGCATGTAAGGTAGAATAATAAATGTGGATGAAACAGCAAGAGATGATTATAAAAAACATTCTCACTCGTCATTTCAGGTTATTAAATAAATGGAATATTGTATAACAGCAAACCAAAGTAGAACAGCAGTTGAGGTTCCTCTGATGAGCTCATAACACAGCACACAGTATCAGTGATTAAGGAAGTTTATTTTTGGCGTCATTGGGCAAAAACTCTGTAATAACCCAACATAATGAAACTCAAGTGGTACTCCAGTGTAGGCGGTTTTCTGGAGAAGGTAAAACAGTCACCTTTGAGTGTTATTCATTCAGACATCATTCGATTATGATTGTATTACAATACCATTAGCATTAGCATTATAGCAGCAATTCTTTGATCATTCTGTTTCCTTTGCAACTATGTGGTCCCTTTAGATAACACTGTGCAAGCTATGGTTACTAGAAGCTAAACTATTAGCAACATTTCTCTGTCTGGGATGTTTTGCAAATATTACCTGTCTCTCTTTTTGACAACTTAATTTTCCTTATTTGCAGTTGTGGCCAATGCTGGAATATAAACTTTGCCTGGAGGACATTTCACTGTTGAATCAGTCATTCAACATCTCAATTCAATTCAATTCAAAACCTTTATTTATACAGATAAAACCCATTGAGATCATAGACCTCTTTTAAAATGGTGACCTGCTTCAATTAGTTCCAAACATTAATACAAACATGACAGAAAACAAAGGACATTATATGATACTACAGTTTGTATACTAGTAGCATTTACAGACACCAATATTTTCTGATTGTATAGCGTCGATCCTAGCTTTAAAAACATGAAATGGAATCAAACTGCTTAGCTTCCATTCCTTTTGTAGACTGTTCCATGCTAGCGGCGCTGCGCATCTAAAAGCTGTATTTCCTAATACAGTCCTAGCAGTTGGCACATTTAATACAACCACAGCTTTAGATCTCAGGCAGTAGCCATTTACAATACGCTGTGAGATCAGGGAACAGATGTAAGACGGAAGTTTCCCTAACATTGCTTTATAAATAAAAAGATACCAGTGATCTGAAGGGACATGCACATGCATTTGTAGAACAGCCAATAGGAACGCCCTCCCCCTGACCTTGGATTAGCCAAAGTACAAAAGAGATCCTAATTCCTGAAAACAAGCGCTGAGAGAAGGTGCAGGAGTTTAATATTTCAATCGGACCACTTGAAAAACAGTATGGTGAAATTGTATTATGGAATTCTAGCCAAATAACTAATAACTTACTTATGTTGCTGTTTTAGTCTACCGAGTCTCATCCTAATTGAGCAGCCACAAACCATTTTTATCAAAAGTATTTTTCCCAACTCATTTTTCAACTTGTCATTTTTGTCTTCTTGTGAATCCCTAAATCAGATTTTGAACCACTTATCTTAAAGCAATTGATTTTGCCCCAGCACAATGTTAAAGCCGTGTCCTTGCTCCCTGCTGGAGTGTGTGGGGAAGGTGAAGATGGTGCTGCAGGAACACTGCAGGTCAACACACACTCCGCAGTCTCCATTAAACCCCTGGGCTGACAGCAGCTGTCTGGCCCTGCAGATGAGCTGTTAACCCGCTAAAGTATCAACACTGAGCGACTAACCACACCCACCAGCTCTCATTAGGGGCTGGAGAGAGTGCCGCACAAACTGGCAGCAGAGAATAAAAAAACTCTAAAGACAAAGTGACGTCATGGTGCAGAGACTCTGACGGTGATGGATGATGTCGCACCGAGATGAGGACACAAAGTGTTTCAGCAGCAGGAGAGCTATATAGGACATCTGCAGTGTGTCCTCTACCAGCATCCAGGAGGGATTCACACGACCTCACAATAACACACAAAAAGCATACAAGCAGAACATGTAGCAGCCTGAAAACGGTCGGATTGGCTTACACAAACACCTTCGCCTACACAGGAGAGGAGAGCAAGCTTTGCGTCAGCAGGCTGTGTGTTTAGGGATGAGTCTGTAATGAGGAGTGAGTCCCACGAGCCCAGCAATCCTCAAACTCACGGAGAAGGAAAAACACTTAATAATGTAGCACTTCATGCAGTCTGTGCTCTGCAGCTAAATTAGTTGGACAAAAAGAAAGGAAAGATACAAAACCTTTAAAAAAAGGCTATAAAATGTGGGTTGGAGCCTGAGGAGGAGGCCGATGAAACGTGGCGTTGAGGAGAGTAATGGGTCAGGAATCTCCCTGTGGTTGCCATAGCAACACAATACGCAACACAGAGAGAGTCCCTGTTAGTGCAGCAGAGTGCTGCATCAGAGAGGAGATCAAATCATAAATACACAGATAAAACTGGCCATAATAAAGTGATAAAAAAACAGTATGAAGTACATGTGAATGGTTATAAAATAATGACACTGTCAGCCTTTTTATTGGTTATCTTTAAGGCTTGCTTTCACTATGCAGTTCTGTCTGACACTTGGTACAATCTGCTGGGAATTAGAGGGCTTGATTTATGGCACGAAGATGTGGAAAACAAAATGCAGTGTGTCCTGTGCTGCGTTCCCAAGTCTTTTCCAATGGAAGCAGTTAGCACAATCTCCAAAAGTTGCCATCATGGCCGTTATACGCTCATTTGCCTATTGGTAACGTCATTTTGATAGCATTTGCATAAAGCATAGTCTTGTCTTTTGCAACAGTGTGGGAGAGATCCTGTGCAGTTGGCTGAAGAGCCGTGATTACTCTGCGCAGCATTAAATATGAATTACACTATAATATATGTGAATTTATTACTTGCTTTTTCCCTTATGGTCTGAATAAGTTGCTACATTCTTGGTTAATAGTAGACTCTGCAGAAGACAGCAAGATATCAGGTCGTCTTTGTGGAAGTAGCACCAATAATCATTCAAAATTAAATGAATTGTATACAGTGGGATGGCACTTTGATTCAGACTGAACTATCTCAACAACTGTAGGATTAATTAAGATGCAAATGTGTTCAGACACTCATGTTGCTCAGAGGAGGAATCCCACTGAGTTTGATGATCCTCCGAGTTGTCATTTAGTATCACTATACGTCTGACACTTGTATTTTAGTATTTTTAATTTGTAATCTCAACTTTAAGATGGATTGCAATGAATTTTGGTACAGAGATCCACGTTACTCAGCCGGTGCGTCTCTTGGTCTTGTTAATCGTAAAGATATTACTACAAATATGCTTCTTCCAGCCTCTAAAATGTGAAGATTTCCTGTTTTGACTTTGCTGTTTATGATAGTAAACTATTTATTCTTGGGACCAATTTCTGATTAGACAACAGCAGTATTTTAAAGAAGTCGTCTTTGACCTTTTTATCTATTTTCTGTCATGTTAATTTGATTAAAGGTTAAAACTCTCCATGGATTAATCGATACTGAAAATGATAGTTATTTGCCGCCTGACCATGATGTCATCCAGAAGTGACACTGCAGTTGAATCTGCTGCACGCCGGGCAGATGTGATGTCCACACTAATCATTGGAGATGACAGCAGCACTCCAGTTAACAAGGTAAAAAGAGCCCCCCCCCTCTGCAGCAGGTTCAGAATGACCAGACAGAGATAATGGAGGAGCAGCAGAGAACGACGGCGGTCAGCTCCGACCTGCCTGGAGATGCCAGATATGGTAGGGATGATGAGGAGGGAGGCCATTAGCAGATAAATCCATAAAATTAACAAAGAAGGGAGGGGTGGGCGGGGAGCAGGAGGAAGGAGTGATGCTGTTGAACGAGACACTTCTTTGTTTTTTCCAGCCAGTCAACCAAAAACATCGGCTGTCAGCTGAGAGTAATCCTGAACAACACAGAGGGTAGAAATGGGCTGTGGAGGTGGCTGCTGTTGACACAGTGTGCAGGCACTAAAACCCTGTGCAGCTCCTGATAAAGAAAGCTGCTTTGACCTTCAACTGTCACCAACTTCAGTCCTTTGTCTAATTAACAACACACCACGGGGGGTGTTAAACAACCTAATGTAGCCTTTAATGCTTGTTCGCTGCATGTAATACAAAACAACTAGCTTCTTTCTCCCATCAATGCAACCAGTACAGAGCCAGACTGTTGCTCCGTGCTAAAAACAGCCGTGCCACTCAGGAAGATCAAACTATCCAATGGGTACGCACTCCTGTGCTGTTGCTAGGCCCCCCTCTCTATTTCTCCCTCTCCATCTCCCTCCTGCTCTGGAGGACATAACACAGAAAAATGGCTGAATAATAAATTCTAACTCAATAAACGTGGAGACAGCAGCTGCACTCAGACAGAGAGCCCCTTGTCTGGGTCTCACTTCTCCTTTGCAAGCAAGCATTTTGAACAAAAAAACACAACAGCAGTGTTTTCTCAATTTAAGAGAAATTAGCTATTGATAGTCGGAGCTCTTCTACAGTAAAGCATGATCACTTCCCAGGCTGTTAGTTTTTCCTCTGCGTAAGAGTGGGGCTAGTGTGGTTCTGTGGTGGATCAGCTGAAGTTATGTTGAAGCAGCTCGATGATGGACGGAGAGAGTGTTGGGAAAGAGGCTTTACGAGAAATGTCAATCATGCACTGCAACATGGACAATGTATATCTTTATCATTACTCTGAAGTTGTTATACATATCTACATGTGTGTATTAGAGAAACCTTAATTGATTGAATGTTTGAAACAACCCTATGGTTTGTTGATCTGACATGACCACCGATTAGTTTTCTATATTCTATTTTTCTCGTGTCAAATTAACAGAAAGTACAGCCACAAACATCACAAAGAAGATGTCATTGAAGTTCTTCAGAGTGATTGGAGAAGCCAAAAAAGTTGCAATATTTGAACAACTCAAAGTCCAAAAGTCATGTGGTAATATGCCTGTTTTATCGCACAGTGACAATTTGTAACACAGCACCTGAAATACATCCTCAATTCTGATTGGCTGGAAAGTGTGGTCAGACATGATAACAGCACATCTGTAATGCAGGTGATGATTAGTATCAAACTGTAAGTCAATATAGCAACAACCAGGCTCAGCTCTGTAGGGTTTTAGTGAGAAGTACATCAAATATGTTTCAGCCTGTTAGACATTAGTGAGTGTGGACATCCTATTTTAGGAGAAAAGCGAGGACACCCCCCTGTACAACTTTCATATCATGACCAGATATGTGTCCAACACCAGAGACCTAACGATAATGGTGACTATCCCTCTGATATATATTTTATTGTATTACACCACTGTGTGTCACAACGACAGTCACCACACCTCTCTTTACCTTTTCTTTTACCATCTCATCAATACGTTCTAATAGATGCAGAAATGACCTTGATCTTAGAGGTGCTCAAATTAAACCAGTCACATTTAAATGCATCATGTTTTACACCTCATGTCACCGTTTTCATCGCTTTAGACTCCATGATGACAGGCCAGAAAAGTAATTTTCAGCTGGTATGCTGATCATCTGTAGGAGATCATTCTGTGGGAGACTTTTTCAATAGTTGACAAGAAGCTTTACCATAAACATGATTGTATAACCGCTGAATCACAAGGAGATATTTGATATGATTAAATTAAAGACATTATTAATAAATTAGAAACCTGTAATTGGATCAGCTGAACAAACAACATATGTGCAAGCTTCCAGGAATTAGTTTGGTGTATTACATTTACAAAAATATGTTTATCTAAAAAGAGAGAAAAGATGCTTCGTACCAGATTTACTTATGAGTTCATTTTGCATCATATAGCTGAGGACACCCGCATACTGTCGCATCTCCTCTAACACTTTAATCAGCAGATGACACCCTCAACAATAGCTTCATTAACCAGAAGGGCGTTCAGAGATGATGACCTCCGCCAAGGCCGTGCCGTCTCGCAAAGTCAACAAAAGTGAGAAATAATTCAGATTTCATTACAAATGTAATAGTCTACCTTGGCGTTTGTTATAGCCTTTAACCAAGTTCCATAACAATTGGGCCAGTAGTTTTCCTCCTTGGTGAAGTTAAATATAATTATAGGTGGGCCTCATCACCTGAAACAAAGACCATTTCTGCTGTAAAACACAAACAGGAAACCCTGTGTGTATCTGTGTGTGCCAAAAGTCATCAACTAGCTTGACACCGATCACAATGTCTGAGCAAACAGTGTGTGTAATATCTGTTGCATTGTTACCTTGAGCGAGTCAAAGCAGGCGATGACTCGGCCATTCTCCACATGGCAGCTCCGGGCGGGGTGAGCAAACTTGCACTCGGCATCAGATCGCGAGCAGGTGCCTCTCTGAAACTCACGACACACTTCCAGGGTCAGCCATTTGGTGTCCCGTCCCATAGTCATGCTGACAGCCATCAGAGTTGCTCACAAACAAACAGTGGCGAGGGCACAACTGTCTGGCGAGAGCAGGGGTGACTAATACTGATGCAAGAGAAAAAAATCCCCAGCAACACAGAAACAGAAGCTAAAAGAATGTTCTGTCTTTCCTCAGCTTAAACAGGCAGCAAGTCCTCTCGGGTGGAGAATTTTAGGGGATGTTTATTAGTTCTTCCTGGGAAAAGTGGCAGCTGAAGTTCAAGATAAAGGGGGCAAACTGTGAGCAGAGGCCAGCTCCGTCTCAAAGAGCAAAAAAAAGGAAAAGCAGAAGCTACCGCTAGCTATCACTGGAGCATCTGTGCCTTCACCTGAATGGACTGACACCCACCGTATGTCATTGTTACATTCACGTCAACATGGCCAGGGTCGGGGCAGTCACTGTGGTTATGTCAGAGTAGCCTGAGAAAGAAGATTTCTGTGGGACAGAAACAAAAGCAGAACCTTATGGGGATGGTGTCCTTGCAGTGATGAGACGAGGAGGCGTTTCAGCTCAAGGTATGTGGGGACTGCAGCTCAGTAACGTGGGATGGATGACTCTGTGGCTGTCAGGATAAAATACAGCCTCCATTCAAGGCCAAGCACACACTTAGCCCCGTCCTGCGCTCATCCAGCAGCACACGACCCCTCGCAGTAGGCACTTTGGAGTTCCACTTCCTCCTCTTATTTCAGTCTCTTTCTCATCCCTCCTTCGCTGTCGTCTGTTCTTCTGTTGTCATCCTCTTCACTGACCTCTCTGCTGCATGTCCTTGCTTGTTGTCTCTATGTGGACTGTAAAAAGAAAGAGAACATTAAATCAAAGCGTTGGCAAAAAAAAATGCTTGTAATGTGAAGCTACAACCTCGTGTGGAGCTTGTTTAAACGGAGGGTGACGAGGACCACGAGGCAGGAGGGTGGATGGGAAAGAGCCAAAGAGAATAAAGCGAGGACAAACAAATAGGGGAACAGAGCAAACGGGAGGGAGGGAGGCAGCAATGAACAGGAAAGGGCAAGCTATGTCTTGATTAAGTGATACAAGAGAGGGAGAGAAAGAGAGAGAGAGATACAGAGAGAGGGAGGATGGAGGGAGATTGCAGGCAGGACAGAGACGTCACTTCAACTCCCCTGAGCTCCACGGAGCAGAAAGTAATTGACTAACTTGACATGAATCATGCTGCAATATTCTGTGAAAAGCTGTGTCCTTGAAGTTGCACCGGCTGGCACGTGTGTGGTCGACACTGATGATTCCCAGACAGTTATTAATGTGAAGGGAAGAAGTAGGAAAGAAGAGACAGGGAAGAAAGAGAGAGGGGGGGGTGGGTCTTCACAACTGCAGCTGCTGTACCCAATGCACGGCTGCAGCCAATCGGACAGCGTCTTGCAGGCACGCAGAGCAAATAAATGACCAATGACAGGGCGGTTTCCACAGCAGCTCCTCCCTCCACAGAGCCTGTCCCTGTTCCTTTCTGGATTTGTTCACAGTCATGGCTGAGCCACATGCTAATATTCAAACTGTACAACAACTCTGACTCCCCACAGCTCCTCGTGGACGCGGATGAGGAAGTCATGTCTTATTCAAACAGTGGACTGTGCTGCAGTGTGATGCAAGGAGGGGGGATGCATGCAGGGATCAGAGCGACGTGCCCAGACACTAACTGAATACAGATAACAATCAGTGAGGTGGCTCAATAAAGATACCCTCAGATGCAAAACTGCCATTTAGCTTCACAAGAGAGGGCAAAGTCCAAACTGCATTCTGGAGTTGGTCAAAATTAAAGAGGAAGTACCACTGTCCTGTCTGAAACATAGTCCTGCATTAATGCACAAAGTGAATAAACAATAGATATGCAGGAGAGGGTACAGAGTACAGCATGAAATAGGAGGAGAGGGGGGGGCTGGAGCAGATATTATCAGTTGCTGCGTCTGATGGCGGTAGACACAGACGGAGGAACCAACGGGGGGGGGAGAATGTGACGGAACGAGGGTGTGTGTGTGTGTGTGTGTGTGTGTGTGCATGTAGATCGACAGCCCAGAAGGAGAACACTGCAGTGTAGTGGGAGACAGAGGGATAAGGGGGAGGTGGGAGCTGAATTGATACACCCACCTTCAAACACAAGAACAAAGACACATCCCAACCCCAAAGAAAAGAGAGGCAGGAATGGGAGATGAGCAGGTACAGCAACTGCTTTGCTTGCTTTACCATTATGCTTGTCTATGCCTCCTCCTCCACCTCCTCCCCCCAGCCTACCTACAGATCGATGGAAACTTTTCCCAGGGGGACAGAACAAGCATTCCTCCTGCAGCTTTGCCTGTCCTGCATTCAGGTCCACATCAGTGTCAAGCGCCCTTGCTTACGCACACCCTGACGACGCAGCTCAATATGCAGCCCACATCATCAAAATGCTCCCGAGCAACACCCCTCACTTCCTCCCCTCGCTCTCGCCACACCAGACACCAAATGGCGCACAGTTGCATTTACGAGCGTTTCCTGGAAAGCTACGCAGCAATGCTGGCTCCCCTCCGGTGCCATTCCAGTTAATATGTCACCCTGTAGCTGTGGATATACAGAGTAACGACCTTCCACTAGCTGATATTTACTGCTGTGGCTCTGCTTTCCAAGAGTTTCACACTCTGGAAGATGTCCCCGACTGTTTCCCCTTCCCTTTTTATGTTCACCTTTGGCCTCTACTAGGGCATTTAAGGGTACTGAAAAGTGATCAAAAGTGATATGCATGCAGTTAAAAAACATAGAAATGAAGCTATGGTTTATTGTGTATGTTGGTTACATTGTGATATGCCTACTTTGGTTGGTGATCAAATGGAGTTTCAAATAAACAGTAAGTATGTTAAATTAGTAGGTTTCTCTTTAACCTCAACTGTCACATTAACAAAGCTAGCATTGCTGACATGCTCATGATTAGCAGGGCAATGTTTACCATGTTCAACATCTAAGTTTAGAATAGAAATGCATCAATTAGTCGAGTAACACAAACACAATTGCCAATAATTTGATGATCCATTTACTCATCCAGATCATTTAAAAACAAAAATGGTGTTAATTGCTGCTTGAAAGCAGCAATTAACACAATTTTTGTCATATTTCTGTCAAATATGTACTTTAAAACATGTGTTTTCACTATAGATTGACAAATTAAGGTATGTGAAGACTTCGACTTGACTTTGAGAAGCTGTGACGGACATCTTTAACTAATTTCTTCAATTGTATAGACCAAATGATTAACTAATTAATATAGGATATAATTAGCAGATTGCTTGATAGAGAAATGTTAGTTTTGGCCAAAGTTACGCCATACTTAGTACCAGAGGTGGGACCAAGTCATTGTTTTGCAAGTCCGAGTCAAGTCTCAAGTCTTTGCGCTCAAGTCCGAGTCAAGTCTCAAGTCATTGTTTTGCAAGTCCAAGTCAAGTCTCAAGTCAGGATGGGCCAGTTCAAGTCAAGTCAAGTCCTAAACTTTGACAAAACGAGTCATAAACAAGTCATTATGTGTTTTTCACCAAATGTAATGACATCGATCAACAGAATAATACTTAATAATCAAATTGCTCTTTATTAGTCACATTAATAATTTAATAATCCATTTTCTCTCTGCTGGTAAAGTAACGTGTGTTTTTCTAATTTAAGAGGGATCAGTAAGGTAAGGCTACCGTGACGGTTTGATTCAGAAGGAGTTTAATGGATAAGATCCCTGATGTTGAGGTAACCAGAATGTTTATTTCTACTGTGTACAACATGTTATAAGGGACCCACAATCTATCTTTATGCAAGGGATAATGTGCAGCGAGGCGGTCTCTATGGGGAAAAGAACACCTGAATCTAGATCCCTCTGCAGGTGGTACTTTAAGTATATTTTGATGCTAATACTTTTGTACTTTTACTTGTAACATTTTGAATGCAGGACTTTTTATTGTACAGGGTTCCTGCAGGTTTCGCCAACTCAAATGTAAGACTTTTTAACACCTTTTTAAGACCACTTTGAATAGAATTTAAGACCTATTTCACGGCAATAAAGTATGAAGGAAAATGTATATAAAGAAGAAATACGTCCCATAATCACTTACAAAGTAAATGTATTCATGTTCAACATAAGAACAGTGACTGAACACAACAGCGTAACAGTACAGAACTGTGTTAGCGTGTTAGACAAAAAGTGTGTGTATGTGTGTGCGTCTGTGTGTGCTTGAGTGTGTGTTAGGGCTGTGCAATTAATCATATTTTAATCGCAATTACGATTTTGGCCTGCCACAATTACGAAAACAACATAATCGTAAAAAACGATTATTTTGCTTTGCTAGGTTGTGACAGTGCACTACAACATATTTGATCTAATTAATTTTTTAGTAATGTATCATTTATTTAATACATTTTTGTATTGGTTTTTCAGTTGAATTATACGTTCAGGGTAATCAACAGTTAAAAAGATACTGTTCAAATTATTATCTGTTTTAAAGTTCAATAAATGGATGTTTTCAAAGTCAATGAATAATCATATTTAATAATCGTGATATTAATTATTGACCAACATAATCTTGATTATTGCCATAATCGAGCAGCCCTAGTGTGTGTGTGTGTGTGTGTGTGTGTGTGTGTGTGTGTGTGTGTGTGTGTGTGTGTGTGTGTGTGTGTGTGTCTCTGAGAGAGAGTGACAAGAGCTATATTCAGAGCTCTGCTGCCTTGGCTACACTATTTCATCGTTGCTGTTGTATGATTGGTGTTTAGCTACGGTATTTAGCGTCTACAGCACCTCCGCTTTTAGGGTTGACGTAGACCCAAACTTAGCCCGGAGGTCCCCCGGTGTTGTTGCGGGAGCTGCTGCATTAGCTGCTGCTGCACTAGCTAACGCTGCACTAGCAAAACAAACACTAATTTATTTTGCAAAAGGTGCAGCGGGCTTCAAACACGTTCCCTCCACTGGTTTCAACCAAGCACTAAATTAGATGTTTTCCAACCAAATACGGTTGAACTTACACATCCCCATATTTATTTGTAAGTAGATTCGAAGATAGGCTACATGAGCTGAAGCTTGGTTGCTAGGTTACTAGCTGGGTGTTCTCCAACAAGGGGCCGGGGGAAACAAAGTTAGTGATTACTGGTTCCATGTTGATTTAATTCAATACAAATTGTTGGGGGGAACTGAAAGGCTATTACCGTACTGGTTACTTTGCAGCCCGGACATTTCCCCCAAAACACATTTAGACGCTATCGCAACATAGAAGTACCTTTCAAATCCGATAATTTTGAAAACCTTCTGAATCATATTTAAGACCTTTTTAAGGCCTTCAATTCTGATTATCAAATGTAAGACTTTTTAAGACTTGTTAAGACCCCGCGGGAACCCTGATTGTAACTTTTTTTAATTGTCTGAACTTCTCCCACCTCTGACAATAAATCCTGAGTGTTTACCCTGCTCTGAAGGTTATTCTCATTTTAGAAATCCTGCACTCAGCTTTGCTTTCTCCAATATCATTGAAAAGCAGCCAGATGCTGCTTCTTTTTTCGGTTTTCGCTCATTTCTTGACTTTTTCCGACGCGCTTGCATTTAAATCCGGCTCCCCGTCTCCCCGTCGCTCTGCACATGCTGTGCCCCCACCCTTCTTTCACATAATGGTATGATCCTAGTGTGTCCTCGCATATGATTGGCCGCATGGTGGCCCAGCTAAATAAAGACCCGCCCCTGCCTGCAAGGATTCTCAGCAAGAGTAGGAGCGGCTGAAGATTCTGCTTTCCCCGACGGGAGTCTGCTCTTCTAACGGCAGCTCGCGATCGGCGTGTT